GCCTCAAGCTGATACCCCGCTTATTCCCCGGAAATATTTTCAGAAAAAAAGTCGGACTTAAAAACAAATATATACAATAATTTACTTGTAAGTGTGGCATCCTACAAAGTCAGTTGTCAGTAGTCTACCCTGACTGAATCCCCTCCTCTGACCGATTCACGATCTTGCTGGCTGCCGTCCATGGTTTGCCTTGTAAAATTTATGTGGTGGGCTGGGTGAATATACATTGCTGTTCTTTATTTCATAAATGTATTTTATTTTAATGTCATGATTATGTTTCTTTTGATAAAAATTTTTATGTACAGCGCGGTGAGCCCAGCCCTAAGCTGGGGTACCGCGCTATATAAGACCTCTTATTATTATTATTATTAGTCTACTAAAGGATTCAGAAATAATTGCTCTGGGTCAGGTCTATTAAAACAATATCAAGGGGCATTGGTATTCACAACACTTCTCTCTTGTTTTAAATTTATATGACCTTCTGCGGTTTCCACATGCCTCGATCTGATCCTATCTTCCAATTTTTCGGTATCAAAGTTTAGTTGATGTCAAGTCAGTTTTGCTGGAGTTTAAGGATTTTATTGTTCTTTTGGCTGTTGTCAATATAGGATCTCCTTGGGTATTATTAGCCTATCATCCATTACATTTACATGGTCAAAATCTATAAATCTCCTCTAGATAAACACTAGTTACACATTTAACATTGTTGGTTTTGTCGTGACAACAGTATAAGCCTATTACCTGACTAAGATATTGTAGATGGATGACACCAAGGCTTCATACTTGATAAGTATTCAGGTTTCTCTGGCACAAAGCAATGTGCTGAGAAGCAGTTCTCTGTTAATAAATAAAATGCTAAAAATCATTAAAATTTCCTTATCCAGACTGTGCCAGCTAGCCTTGTCACAGTTGTAGCTGCTTTGCCATCTCTTTTGATACATTTTTATCACAATGCTTGTGTAAGCATGAAGCAAAGACTGTTATCAACAGCTTAACCACAATTATATTAATTACTATTTGTGATAGCTCATTTGCTAATTTTTTAATTTCCCCCTTTTTTACTTCACTACATGACTGTTCAAATTTAGGATCAATGGGGATCATTTGTATAGTTATTCAGGAAATTATACTTCTTTAAAATAGCGCAACAAATCATTTTACCTTCATAGAATTATTGTAACAGGGAGGGGTAAAATGGATGCTGTGTGGAAAATTGGTACGAACATATTTATGTTTGGTCTCTATCTAAGAAACATTTTTTTTTTATTCTTTGGCAGGCATTAAGTATTATGGAGGAGCTTTTGTATGAGAAGTCAACATCAAGAGATACTTGACACATCTTTAATCAAGAACAGATTTAAACTACATGTGAATATTCTTAAACCGTGAATATTGGTTAAATTGAAGACTTCATATTTCACTCTATAAAAAAAATGATGAAATCTGCAGGACATTAATGAAGCTTATTTTACTGTCACATCTCTGTTACTGATGACCTATGGTACCATTCATTAAGAAAGTAATAGTTATGACATATGTTTTATTTCTATTCATAAGCAAAAAAAGTTTAGCTAAACCTCTGAAATATAGTTTTATTACTAAAAACTTTTGTTAAAAGTAATAATTGCATTGCAAAGGTCTAGTCAAATATGAAATAGTGTAAATGTACATCTTCAGCTTTCGATATTTCTGGTGAAAGAATAATCAAACTGCCATATGGAAATTCATGTCAGCTATTATACCTAATTTTGTTTATGTGCATGGATATGTTAGTAAAGTCCTTGTTTCTAAAGGACGCAAAACTTCTTCAAATAAAATTATTTAATCGTAAAATAAATAAAATGTCTCAAGTCCCCCTCAAAAGTAAAATCATTGTTAGTCCTGGACCAAAAAGTCTTAAAAATGGAAACCTATCCTTTAATTAAATTGACCTTCCATTTTTTGTTTCAAAAATTAACTTTGAAAATATAACATGTTATAACTTAATTTATATTCACAGTTGGTAAACAAATATTTAAATTCAGGCTGAAGAATGTATTAAAAATGAACTGGTGATAAATTTGTAAAAGTTTAATACGTAGCCTGACCAGCTATGGTATCTACTTGACTTTTGAAATGTAAAAAAAAATTTGTATTAAAAATTCGCTTTTTTTAATTTATCTATAATATTAAGGAGAGATATATGGCATGAGTAGTTTGTGAAATCAAATGTGTTTCAATGACATTTATGTTAAGTAAAATTCTCTATTTAAAAATTGTTATTAATATGTAATTAAACAATTGCACAAAAATTCTATTTCTTTCTGTGCATAGAAATACAAAGCAAATGTTATTGTTTTATTTTTGAACTATTTGGCATTATAAAGCTATGTTAAAGGCATAGTATGAGATATTAAAATATTTTCAATATTATAATTTTTAAAATTTTTAATGTCAAGGTTTAAATTGAAAGTGATAATCTAATTGTTCTAAGACTAAGACTTATTACAAAAATGAAATATGTTTCTTAAGTTATACCTCAAAAATTGTTTGACATTGATGTGAATCTAAGGTTTTTCTTTGATTCCCTGTTAAAAGTTCGAGATTAACTATATTTTTTATTTTTATTGCATCTGTTTATAAATAAGGAATAAAAGTTAGCAGTATTAGGATGTTCAGATATTATAACATTTACTTGTTCCATATATTTATAAAATAAGTCTTAAATAGTCTTTTCTTCTAATATTTAACTGAAATGAGATAAAGAAAATGTAATTCCTATTTTTCTTGTTGCAAGCTCTTCATCCTATTTTTTTCAGACACCTTAATAGTGTTTCTTTTATTATTAGGTACTGTAATCAAGGACATATATTATGTTTTGGACCCCTTTTTAAAAAGATCTTCCTAAATAAAATTTTACAATATTGGAATTGATTTCTTGTTGTTATTCTTAATAGTTTTTTTTAAAGTTTGTGTGGAAGGGATGATCACTACCTTCAGTGTTTAGGGTTTTATTTAATTGTAAGGCTGGGATTACCAGAACTGCAATAATATCGGAACTTTGGTTGGAACTAACTGCGTTCGAATAACATTCCTTTGTACAAATCGATTTCAAACTGGACTAATTCCGGATACGGAAAAAATTTTTTTTTACTTTTGAGTATATTAAACTTGGTAAACAGAAGTAGAAGTATTTGTATACCATTTATTATTAAAAACTTCAATTTAATTTCATATCAATAATTTGAATTATAATTTAATCAAATTTATTATTTAAGTTGTACAAACTTGGCTAACCTCAACTGTACTTGAGCTGTCTCAAACATTCAATTTCTATTTTTGTTTACTGTGTCGTCTGAAGTAAGTCTTGCCCCTACACAGCCCAGCAATCCATTAATTTGATATATTGGTGGGTTACTCGAGAACCTATGCTTTACTTTAGTGTTAAAGTTAAAAAGCAATGCATAATTAATTCCATTGGTGGAATATGTCTGCTGCTGATAGTTGACAAGACTGAAAAATATTCATATAAATTTTAAAAGTTGTAATGAAATGGGATTTTGAAAAATACATCTGTTTGGTAACTTGCCACTTAAACTTAAAGATATTTCAAAAGAAAGATGCGATCTTCTTAAGATTCTTGGTATGAAGGCAGCTGAGGCAAAGTCAAGCACAGAGGGATTTTTTATTTATTTTAATTATTTGTAATTAAATACTTTATTTCCAGGGTAATTTTTTGGGTTGACACAATTGACTCTCTCCCTCAGTTAATCATCTGTCTTGTGCTCACCTGAAAGGTCTCAATTGAGTTGCGTCAATATTGTGTCTGCTTCATTCAGTAAACGGCGGGAGAGAGGTGGGTGGGGGATCTCTTACATAGCGCGGTACCCCAACCTAGGACTAGGCTCACAAGGCTTCACATAAAAATTAGCACACAAAAAAATACAAGTTACTTAAAATTATTGATTTAAAAACAGCTTTGTAAAAATATTGACCTCGCCCACCCAAGTACTAATTACCACTGTCTAACCATGGACTGCACCCAGCAGCACCGATTATTGTTTATCAGTCAGAGGGGGAGGAGAATGAGTTGGGATAGTAGAGTTTGAAGAGATATGTCTTGGGGGAAATTTCGAAGGCTTGGATGGGTGGTATATTGCGGATGTGTAATGGGAGAGAATTCCATTGTTTGGCGTCACAGACAGAGAAAGATCGTTTACCATATGTTTTAGCATGTGTCTTGGGAACTGAAAGAATATGCGTGTCTGCTGAGGAATGAAGCTGTCTAAGGGGTGAATAGACAGAAAGAAGTTCAGTAAGATAGGAAGGGCAGGATTAGAGCTGTCGGAGTTAGGGAAAGATCGTTCGGAAGGGGTTCAGGCAGTGCCCCCCCCCCCCGAGCAAAAATATGACCAACCATAAAACAACTGCAAACCGCTGGCACCGCCCCCCCCCCCCGAAAAATCTGAAGTGCCTGAAAGAAACAATGATGGCAATTAGACTCGGAACAACAGGCAGCTCGCGACCAACTTTATAAAAAGCCACAGCCATTAAAATCTAATTTTTACCCTTATGCCTAAATAAAGAGTTAAGTCACTTTACCCGGGACGTTGTCCACATTTGTTTTTTAAATTGTACTTTTGTTTACAATTTGATAAAAATTACAATTTTAATACTGAAAAGTAGAAAATAGAAAAAATATTTTAAAAATCATTTTAAAAAGACTATCAAATACAAGATTAAATGTACTTAAAGTTAAAGGTAGAAAATAATTTACAGTTTCTTAGAATTGCATTAGGCAAAGTTTTTTTTTGTTTTATTGCTTATTGCTTTTCCTTTTTTTATATATATCTATACATATTTTTTTTTATATATATATTTTTTTAATTTTTCTGAAATTTTTCGGTAACTGGTTTGTATTGTGGTCCTAAAACACTTGAACATAAACACATGATAAACATGTTGGTAAGGAGTTTGAGTTGGTATTTGTTACCGGTCTCCGGTTGACTTGTCTGTGGTGGCTTGTCGATTAGGAGGCTTCGGCCACCGACCCCCTCGACGTTATCCGGGAAACACGACCACTGGGCGCGTCCTGCGTGGGCAGACAAGGCCAAGGGATGTGCTCGGCTGCTCGGTACCTGCCGTACATAAAATAGCTCCTAACAGGGCTGCCAGTTGTGATATTTCCCAACTGGAACAATAGGCAGTGACAGGGTAGGGATCATGATTACAAGTTGCCGTTAATGGATATGAGGCGAAGGTGGTAACCTCTGACCATGGCCGATGATTCTTACTACGCAGCCCTGAGAAGCTGCTCCAAGGCAACCGTTTCGTCCCAGCTGCATCGCGAATTAGTTGCGTTGTGGAAACCCACTGTAGAATCCCTCTTATAGGGCGTCTAACGCTTCCCCGGGATGGGTGGGGGAAGATATTAGGACGTAAAATTTTCCATCCCGACTCCTGAGAAAGTCGATCGTGTGCACTGTGTGCAAACACAGTGTCGGACCGACCGGGTGTCTTTGGGTTAGGACGGCCCCCAGCGGAGACCAGGTCGAGCAGACTCGGGTGGGGGCCGTCCTGACAAAGGGACATCCCCGACGTGCCGCTCCACGGCCCGATACCGAGTTGGGGAGGGGTGTTTTGGGGAGGGCATAAAGAGCGCAAGCTCGACGGCTCTCTGACGCCATTTCTTAATGAATGTAATATTTCAGTTGGTATTTAAATTCATAAAACGAAGGGCAAGAGGTTTTGAAAAATCGTGGGTGAATATCTGTAGAATTTATAGCGCTAAAATGATGTCTTGTACTTGTGTTTAAATTGTATAACTGTGAAATGAGAATGTTGCCTTGGTCTTACTCTTAGTACTAGTCTTACTTTTACTCTTGGTTAAAATTAAAATATCTTCCATTCATATTACTATGACTCAGTAAACTCAGTATGACTATACCGTATACCATCTATGGGACCATAGTCATAAAAAGCATAGGCCTACTTTACTATACTTAAATACTATACTTAAAAAACGTATCCATTTAATAATTAATTTCTATTATTTATGTCCTGTGGGGTCGTCCATTAATTACGTCAACAATTTTTACGCAATTTTTTTACATATAAATGTATAAATACTAAATACATTTTACTTTGTGCTGATCTATTTAAATGACACATAAAATTGCAGGGAAAACATTTTATTACATGTTTAACGTGTTAGTTTAGCTTGTTAATCAACAAGTTAACAAGTTTTTACACTTAAATTTTATAATGCAGAATCAATTAAAAGGTTGTTACGGAATAAATAACATTGTTTGTGGAAGTATAAATATGATTATTGACATTGTCAGTATAACTGACAATTATAGTATGGTTTCCAGCTGCTATTATCTTCCCATGGAGTATTGCATTGCCCCCCCCCCCCCCCCCCTTCTTGTTTTTTTTTTTTTTTATTTTCTTCCCCTTGGGTATTGCCTTGCCCCCCCCCCCCCCGACTTTGCTGGTTTTGTTTATGTACTGTGTGCTGCTATGTACTGTGGCACCTCCAGTAATAAACAACTTAACAAGCCGACCCCTCCCTTCCCCTGAAAAAACCCTGAAATGACGCCCCTGATGGGCATAGTCTATAGTAGCTGATTTATTATTTTCATCTTGCAGATCTGATATACCAGACAAGTCAACATCATCCTTATCTAACCATTCAGCACTTAAATAGAAGTATTTTCGGTGTGAGCAATAATTGCCATAAGCTCTCTCTGTCTTTGAGTTGGTGTAGTTGTTATTGAACACTGTTGAGTTGTTTTTTTTTAAATTGAACGCTGTGTACAATGATGTGTTAATCATTCTAGGGAAAGGTTTAAGAGAAAAATGACAGGTGAAGACAGTGGAGTAGCTAGGGGGTGCTGACCGCACCGGATGTCACCATATCAGGGGGTGATAGTGATATCAGCAAGTGAAGAAGAGTTATTGGTGTTCGTTCCAAAATTAAACTCTTTCTATGATGAGTTATCAGAGGATGAACTTTCAAAAGAAATACCTAGGCTTAGAAGACACTAAAGGCAGCTGATATTGCATTTCACAAATTCAAGGGCTGGTCAGTATTTGATGTTTTACAATTCATAGCTGAATGAGACTTCCTAGAATATCTTCCAATATTCTCGCTAAGCTTTCAATTGTCTTACGATCTGTGTGTCTGTGGTTTCATGTGAGCTGAGCTTTTCAAAACTAAGGCTGATCCAGGCCTATTTACTCTCCACCTTGGGATAGTCAAGGCTTTCTAATCTGGCTCTACTATCAGTTGAAAGTGATACGGTGAAGGGTATTCAATTTGATCAAGTGATTGACAGATTTGCAACTTGTAAGACCAGGAATGGACAATTTTTAAGAAAGTAAATTTAATGTAAAAATAACTATAACTTAACGTTGTTACTTCTTCTTCTTCTATATTTTGAGGGCCCACAATCAATGTATTGATCATTCTAGCTCCTATAAATTTTTAAATACAGTTCTTAAATACATTTACCTCCTGACCTTTAATTAATTTATTTTTGTTCTTGTCATTTTTATACTCAAGACTTATTTTAACAATAAAAAATCCATCTTGGAAGTCGGGGTAGAGGGGGGTGGCACCATGAGTTTACCGGGCGGGGTGACACCGACCCTAGCTACGCCACTGGAGGAAGAGATGCCAACTTTTGACTTCTCTTGCACTAACAGAGTGTGCTAACATTCTGACCAACCATCTGCAGTGCACAGTCAGGCACACATTAAATAAGAATGAAAAAATTGTGCTTATTTATAAAAAACAAATTGATGCACAATGTTTTTTTTATAATAACAAAAAATTCAGTTTTCTAGGATATAAAAATTTTTATTTCCTACCAAGGCTGTGTATCGCTGGCAGTGAAGTACTAGACTCAATTACAATAAATTACATTTACATACATATTTGACTTAACTTACATTTACATACATTATCAAATACTTGATTACTCATAAACTTTTCCCAGGCACTTCAATACTTCTTTCATCTCTGAAGTAGATTTGATTAAAGAGAAATAAATTTGAATATGCATGAAATTAATTCATCATCTACATGAGATATTTATTCTCATGAGTATATCAAGGGAATTTTAATTGCAATTTGTCAATTAAAAATATGCAAAAATGCTTTATATGGAAGAGAACAAGGATGATGACAGAGTTCTAGATTTATTTACACCTGAGTTTAAAAGATTAAAAGCAAGAAATCCACCACCTGATCTCAGTGAGGTTTTGGATCTTTCCTCCCCAAAGCCAAATGAGGTAAGAATGCCTTGGGAAGTGTTTTTGCAAATTTTTCATAAAGCTTGTTTTTCTTTTGCAACAAAATAGGGAACATATTTCATTAACAAATATTTCAAATAATAAAAATTAAGATGTATCAATTCGTAAACATTTATTAATCATCACCTTGTTCATTATTTTCATAGCTTTTTTGCCCCTACTTAGCTATTGAATCTGACCTTACACCTATAAATGGCCTGAAGCCAAGCAGAGAGTGGAACGTATATCAATTCCCAAGATTCCCAGGTACAATACTCATAAGCTTGTCATATATTTTTTAATGAAAATTACTAATGCCAGTGCCAGCATTACTCGTTGTCACCCTTATGAATTTGATCTTTGGCTCTCTCTACATCACAGTGAAGTTGCACACATTTCCAATATTTTACATAGCTCTTTTTATGAGGAAAGGGAAGGAGGTGTTGATTTTGCATACCAGTGTGTATGGTCTGGAGTGGGGGAGGGGAGGGGTTTCCAATGCAGAAATTATATACATTTATTAAAGAATTCTGCAATGATTATTCTGAAATTCTGACAGTCCACAAATAGCCTATTTATATCTCTAATGCTATACAAAAAATGTCATGCAATATTTTCTTATTATCATCATACCAGTACTTTTGCATTGTCTTTTTTAACAAGTGAACTCACTAGATATCACACTAATAACAGTAATATTGAGTCCACCGTTCAACTCTGTATGACTCCGTGCGTGTGACGTAATTATTTTGTTCCAAAAAGTTTTCTATTCTCTGTGCCCTTGACGAATTTAGGTTTTCCCTATGTGCCCTATGAAAAATTTTAACTAGTACACTTCGAAATAGAGAACAGGCTTTTTGAAATTAAAGGGTTGGGTAAAAATTTACACATGCAACAGGGAAAAGGAAGGGGGGGGGGGGAATTAGTCTTTTTTTGGATGGTCCCTTGAGCTAATTGATGACTAACATTGGCAGCAAGTAAGTTAATATTGTTTTTGAGAACCAAAAATTATTAAATTTTAAAATGATGGTTGTCATAAAAAGTTGTCATCATTAATAGCTGTTATTAAATGACACAGAGGACATTATCTTTAATTACCACAATGGTGCAGCCAAGGAATGTTACTTCACATTCCAAATAGGATAACAGTTATGCTAGCCAGGTGTTAAACTCAGGCTGCCCCATTATGTGTGTCAAACTTTCTGACTACAACTGACCCTCATCATATCCTTTATAACAGAACAAATGTCATGTGTATATGTCTATGCATTATTGTTATATATGGTCATAAAGACAGAAACTAATTGACAAGACAGAGGATTCATTCAGATTAACTAGTTTGAACTAATAATGAAATTAATTTTGAAATAAATTTTTGGAGAAAAAAAATTCATTGCATGCTCAGTTTTAAAAATTTATGTTACTAATTAATGCATTGATTATTTTTTAAAGCCAAAAATACCTGAATGTCATACATTCTTTATGTTGGTAACGATCAACCCCGTTATTACTCTTAACTACTGAGCCTCTTGCTGGTGTAAGCCTGTCACTAATTTAGGCCCACTAACTGTGATTTTTGTTTTGTCCATTATCTCAATAACAAAATCAACCACACTCTTTAATTTTTAAAGGTTTCTTTGTTGTGCAAAACCCATTCTTGGATGGATATGATCGATATTGGGTGTCACGCTGTCTCAAAGATTTCCCATCAAACAAAGATAATCTAACCAATTTATCAGCTTTAGGTGAAAAAAGAGGTCAGAATCTTTGGGATGATTTTGTTAAAAAACAAAGGTAATTTCACCAGGAATACTTTTTATGATAAAAAAATCTATGTACTTTTCTCATGCACTGAATAAAATTACAAAAATACTTTCAAACTAAGCAAAGTAAATTACTAAACTTATTTGGTTACATAATTTGAAACATAATTTTTAACATGTTTAATGCAATAGAGATAAGTTGATTTTTTTTTAAATGTATTATGTAGATGCCGACCTATAGTTGCTAACACTACATATTAAGTAGGCCTACATGGTGTAAAAATTGCATTTTTTAAATGATAAATGAAAAGTAAGATTGATTCTTAATTTTTTAGTAGTATGCTCAGTAAGGGAGATCCACTTAGGCAGTTGCGTTGGACTACACTTGGCTATCACTACAACTGGACAACAAAGGTAATTTAGTAGACCAATTTTTTACTCTGTAGATAAAAAATATTGACAGCAGGCATGACATGTAATTAAAATATCACATTTTGTATTTATTGTTTTATATGGCTGATAAAGGTATTTCTCCAAAAATATATATATTTTATGTTGTTTTTTTTGTTTGTCTCTCTCCAAGCTTAAAATAAACCTTGTTACATAATGTTGCCTATCTTAATAGCTTGACCAGCTGTCCACTAATAATATTTCTGTAAATCCCCAATAGCTTAGCTATGGCATGCCTAATATATTTGTCAACAGTAAATACTTTGTATATAAGGCTGAAGTTTAAATGCATAGATTCTGCAAAATAACAAACTAAAGACTAAAAATAACATCCACACGTCCTAATAATGTCATCCACACGTCGTAATGATGATATCTACACATCCTAAAAGCTATCAAGTGGTGATCCTGACCCTCATCTCCACTGATGTCCTGCTGAAATGAGTCATGTATAAAGCACATGGCCAATGCTAAAGCTTGGATTGAGACAAACCAACACACCATCAAGACTCAGCTTGGAGTTTTTGTTCACTCTCACCACATAACATCCAATTAATGCTTACCGCCATTTTATTTATCACAGGCCATCTAACCTTTTATGGTTTAGTCTTTCCTGTTATTTAAATACTACTTCATTCTTCCGCTTCACGTTCCCAGCTTCAGTCCTTACAGTTGCTGTTTTCAGGCACAGTTGTCCTACTTAACTACACAAACACAGCCATGCTTGCTTAAGACAAATAACCAACTCTCAATTGAAGCAATGACGATTCTTTATTATTTTTCACAACTGGCAGTTTACAAAAACGTTCTTCACTAAAAGTTCTTCATGACACTACTTCTTGTCCTCTGACCACTTTCATCTCCAATTACTAGATTGCACCCTCACACGACAATCATCACTCAGCATTCCCACAAAACAGAAAAATGAACTAATCCCACAAACTGACCTTACATTACCACCACCCCCCCCCCACCCCCCGACCTATCACAACTCACAAACAACTTTCTTAAACATACATTCATGCTCCCATTTCATTTCATTATATCCCCCCCCCCCTTTTTTTTTCCATTGACATAAGTTACAGAAGTGATGTCACACACAAAAATGTTACCGTATTACAAAATCTAAACATCTTTTTTTTAAACAATGCTAAAAATCACACATTATTAGATACAAAACATTTTTCAATAAACAATACTTAATATTGGCCTTCTCTTTACAATACTAAATATTGGCCCTCTCTTTACAAAACTAAATATTGGCCATCTCTTTACAATACTAAATATTAGCCTTCTCTTTACAAAACTAAATATTGGCCATCTCTTTACAATACTAAATATTAGCCTTCTCTTTACAAAACTAAATATTGGCCTTCTCTTTACAATTAAGATCAAGGGCCAATTGTAAATCAAAACACAATATGACATTGCTATTAACAGCTAGTGAAAAATTATATCCTTTGAAAAACCAACAATAGTCAAAATTACATAAATACTCACAATATTAATTAACTGTTCTTTAAAATTTCCTTAGGTTCTTTTTAATTGATTAACTTAATAAGTAAAAAAACTCAACACATCCATAATTGGACTCAAAATTAAATTTCTTAAGCTTTAAACTGGCTGCTGCAGAGAAAAAAATATCAACACCCAAAAGTAACATGTATTTTACTGTTCACGCAAATTCATTACACATTGCCTCACTTAAATGTATAGCATAGCAACCCCAAAAAAATCATAATCGCAACTCATGGAAAACACTCACCTCTTCAACAAATTCAAAGCCTCTAATAAACTTAAAGCCTGAGCCACCATGGCTCTCAATCTTTGTCACTCCTGGCTCTCATGACATAATAAATCGAATATGTCCTTCACGTCATGAACAACCCCAAAATGTTCTCTTTTACCCTAACCCCCCAGGAACTGGCATCCAACCCCTTCTTTGACGTGACTTCAAAAAGAGATGCAACCTATAAAAATTTTATTCATGTTTTATAAACCTACTGTTAAGTAGGTCAGCATAGCCAAGGAATTTCTAAGACATTAATGTCCAACACATCTATGCCTTGGAGTACATATATAAACCAAAATTGAACATCACCATCTCAAGCATGAAAGTATAGTGTCTAGAATCTAGACACTCTTCTACTGACTGGATGTATAACCTAAATAACATAAATATGATAGTGTCTAGACACACTATACTGACAGACTAAATAACCTAAATCTGATTCATTCCAACTGAAATACATATATATTTTCAAACATACTTTAAATAAATATTCTTTTCATTTCCATTAAGCAAGCAAGAGATAGTTACAAAATTAATTACGATCTCCTCATGGCTCACTCTTTAATAAGCACACATTCAATAATATATTTAATTTGCATGAAATAATACATTTAAAATAGATGACGCATTTAATAACTTAAAGGTAATGCAATCCAGCAATGGTATTACTAATTATGAGAACAGCGATCCTACACTTCATTCTGTTTGTTAAGGACTGCATCATTTACATTTATAATTAATCACACTTTTTACCTCAAGCCAGATAAGGCCAGTCAAGGAGAGGAGCTAATTATATTTCAGGCTTCATATGAAGAATAACACTCTTAAACCAAGTGAGACAGTATGTCTGTCGCGATATTGTTTGTTCCCTTTATACTCTTGCCGTGTCAGGGCCCATCTTTAATGCCTTTATCTATCCCAGGCCAATAAAATGGGCTGGTCTTATTGACGTGTCCAGCTAGTAGTCTTTTGCTTGTCCATTTGAGAGAATGGAGTCCCTTCTATTTTTAGGTATCACCAACCGATCTATTTGACTTGTTGTTTTTTCTCTCATAATGTTTATAGAGGAGCTCTTTCCTAACAACAAAAGGAGTTATCCCATTAACCCCCTCAGGAATTGACCTCGCATTCCCCCCCCCCCCCCCCCCTTGTTGTTTTTTCTCTCATAATGTTTATAGAGGAGCTCTTTCCTAACAACAAAAGGAGTTATCCCATTAACCCCCTCAGGAATTGACCTTGCATTCCCCCCCCCCCCACTCAATAAAAAATTACCCTTACAAAACCTCTCACCAACTTATGATTAACAACTTTTATTAAAAAACATTCACCAAGCTCCCTAATCCAGTTCATAACAACTATCAAGACATTTTCTGCCAATGTATTGTCCATGGAGTTCATATTTCTACCAAGACATTTTCCTTTCTTCATAATTTTTTAAAGTACATTATATTTATATGTGTATAGGTGTAAGTCAGAATATTTCCACAACTTATGAAAGAGTAACCCTTCAAATAAATGGATATACTAACCCTGGAATCCTTAGCTTGAACCTTGAAGAGGTTTCAAACGTTTAACTAACATTAAAACCATTGAATCTTCACTTTACCAAGGGTCATGGGAGCATGAACGGTTCAACTGAATATAACTGTAATTATTTTCTAGGATTATTCGGATGATAACCAAGGAGATTTCCCCCAGGATGTCAACTGTTTGTCTCAGTATTTAGCTGCCAGTCTCGGCTTAGGTCCTTATCACGCTGAGGCTGCCATAGTCAATTATTATCATTTGGACTCAACACTGGCTGGACACACTGACCATTCAGAGCTTGACCTGTCTGCCCCATTATTCTCTATAAGGTTGGTTTTTTTATTGAAAACGTCATTGTTATATGGTTGTCTATATCTTATTTTTAGGATGTTTAAAATTATTACTTAAATATTTCTGTTTTGAAATAGGACCCAAATGTCTGCATTTTTTGAAATTTTAAAAACAATTACAGCCTGTAATCAATTTTTTAATTATCATGCTTTAGTATACCTTTTTTTTTTTTTCTTTTTTTTTTTTGGATTATGAAGCCACAAAAAAACTACTATTTTAATGGTTATTAAAGCCATAACATTTAAAGGTAATTTTAACCAAAATTATATTTTTAATATTTGATCATTTTAATCTTGTATTTCAATTTGAAGTTTTATTGTATTTTTTGTTTGTTTTTTTTGTTTTTTTATTTTTTATTTTTTTTTTTTTTTATTTTTTTTTTTTTTTTTTTTTTGTATATTTTTTTTTTTTTTTTTTTTTTTTTTTTGGATTATGAAGCCACAAAAAAACTACTATTTTAATGGTTATTAAAGCCATAACATTTAAAGGTAATTTTAACCAAAATTATATTTTTAATATTTGATCATTTAAATCTGGTATTTCAATTTGAAGTTTTATTGCATTTTCAGCTTTGGTCAAAAAGCTATTTTTCTTCTTGGTGGAACAACAAAGGCTGTGAAACCAATGGCGGTATATGTGAGAAGTGGTGATGTCTGTGTAATGAGTGGGGACTCTCGTCTTGCTTACCATGCCGTGCCTAAAATTCTCAGCACCCCAACATTTCCAAAAATCTCAACAAGCAGCCACTCACAGAAAAACTCAGTTAGAGGAGATGTTGGCAGCAAAGTGATAGAAAATGTAAACCAAAGTGCTGCTGATGAAAATGCAGACGATGACCCACTTAAGGAAAAATCAGCACCTGCAAAAAGACAAGCAGATTTAAATAGTTCATTAGATGCATCTGAGTCCTGTGCCTGTAAATTACAAAAATTAATTGACACCAGTTGTGAACATTTCTCACATATGACCCCAATGGGACATTCTATACAACAAGGATTAGACCTAGTTGTGATGAACTGTGATAATCATAAACTTCTGACTCAAAACTGTAGCGACCATAGCTACAAAGAATACCAGTCAAACATAGACCAGGTAAATGCTGGTATAGTATCTGTGTTATCAAATCTTGACTTCAATTATTTCAGTCTTTATCTCAAGTCATCAAGAATAAATCTGAATGTGCGACAAGTACTGCCACCTGGTATAAAAAGATTAAAGGATTTTAGCAGGCAGAACAAAAGTTTATAATTTGTGAAAAAAAGGAAAAGTGATGGGGAAGAGATACACAATTATCCACAGGTGAACTGAATTTTTCATTTCCTGTGTCATTTAATCTGAAGGTTATATTAACCGAATTTTTCAATTGCTGTTTCATTGAATTTGTACTTTAATTAACTGCAGTTTTCAACAAAGAAATTCATTATATCTGTATAAATTACTTTATGTTAAAAAGTTCATTTGAAGTTTTATTGAATTATTGTCTCAGCTTTTCTTGAAATTGTATAACTGGCTACTTTTCGCCTATTTCAAACAATGAGTAAAAACAACTAGCTAAATTTTTTAATGCCCACTAAACCTCCTCCCCCACCCCCCCCCCCCTTTCTCTTCCCTCCGATGTTCTCTCCAGTTTCATTAAAATAATATTTGATATATATACTCTGCTTTTTTTTAATATAAAAGGCTGCCACTGTCATTTAAGCCCACTCCCTAGAAAACTTTGAAAAATTCAAAACACACGGATGCATTTTAGGACATACCTGAATATAGTTTTTAATCATTCTTTCTACAGCAGCATTTCCAGACCTTTTTTTACCCTCATGACCCACTCAAACTTTTATCGCCTACTCTGACCATTGGGTAAAAAAAAAAGCTAAAATGAATACCAATACAGTGTTTATATTTAAATTAAAATTGCATTGCCTCTTAGAAAAGTGTTGATAAATTTGTGTGCATTTATAACTATCAGTGTTTAGAAAGTCTTTTGACTACCAGAGTTACTAGCAATGAGTTTTCAAGCTCATCCTTAACATGTAGGTTTTTTATCAAAATATTAAGATTGTTATCCATTACTATTAAATTTCTTGGTTGACATATTTAGGACCTTTTTTTTAAATTTTGTTCAGAATACCTACTTTAAATTTAGTCTAGATCTTAAAAGTGAAAGTTTAAAACTTTGTGTGTCTGAGTCAGAAAACTATTCATTCTCTAATTGGTGACCCCGTTTATTAATCTAACGTACAGAACATATGTCTGCCATTACACAAAATTAGAGGCCATGTCACTGTGTAGTGTTTCTTTTAACCATGCCATAAAAATATCGGTGGTGTCTAAAGTATAGTACCTCATTATGAAAAGGAATTAATTTGTTGAATGAAACATAATCTAATTTCATAAAAGATTTAAGGAAGAGAGATTTGTGTAGATAGTTAAATTTAATAAGTGTATCCATGTGTGGTATGATAGTTACACTTAATAAGTGCCCCTATGTGTGAGATGATAGTTAAATTTTATAAGTATTATAAGTGCCCTCTATGTGTGAGATGATAGTTAAATTTAAAAAGTATTATAAGTGCCCTCTATGTGTGAGATGATAGCTAAATTTAATAAGTGCCCCCCCCCCCCCAATATTTTAGATCATAGTTAAATGTAATAAGTGCACCTTATGTGTGAGATCATTTTTAAACATATAAGTGCACCCAATGTGTTAGATGATAGTTAAACTTATAAGTACCCCCCATGCGTGAGATGATAGTTAAATGTAATAAGTGCCCCTCAGTTGTGAGATGATGGTTAAATGTAATCAGTGCCCCCCATGTTTGAGATGATGGTTAAATGTAAAAAGTGCACCTATGTGTGAGATGATAGTTAAACTTATAAGTGCCCCCCATGTGTTAGATGATTGTTAAATTTAATAAGAGCACCCATGTGTGAGATGATAGTTAAACTTATAAAGTGCACCTATATGTGAGATGATAGTTACAAACTTAAAAAGTGCACCTATATGTGAGATGATAGTTAAACTTAAAAAGTGCCCCATTTGTCAGATGCTAGTTAAACTTAATAAGTGACCCTCATGTGTGAGATGATAGTTAAAAAATATTTGAATGATGGAGGAAATATAGTTGGTACTAAGGATATTAGAAGAAAACCGGTTGTCTGTTTTCTCAAAACGTTATAAATATGTGTTTAGGCTGCAGTGTTTGTTATCATGATATACACGGTATAATATAAAATAAGAACGAAAAAAACATATTCCAGACTCTTGCAAACATAAAAGAAACAATAAGCCAATAGTTTGTAGGTATATGATTATTAATATTATTTAATAAATAAAATAACTTTAAACAAAAAAATAATAAAGATGTAAAATGGCACAAAATTGGTAAGAAAAGTTGTCGCCTTGTTATTTTCAGCGTTTTTATATATATATATATATATATATATATATATATATATATATATATATATATATATATATATATATATCACACGTGCATAGCTCGGGTCTCTCAGATATCTCCCCCCCCTCTCTTTTTATAAAAAAAAAAACCCACCAAAGAATGAAAAGTAAAATGTAAAGAGAATTCATAGAGAGTAAAATAAGCTAAAAGCATATGATGAAGTGAACCGAAAATGAAGCCTCTCCGCCCTGGGGGCAGCCTTTTCCGTCCCTTTTTGCTCCGCTCCTGGATGGTACGGTCATAAAATGTCATGTCGATTTGACATGTCTGTGAGAAAGGTTATAAATGCAAGACCTATCCACTCCCCTCCCCGACAACAAAATATGTGGGCTACATGGTGCGTGGCATGCATGTTTCGAACCTTGATCTCAACACGAAATCCGGGTTTCAACAAACTGGTTGGCCGGAGGAAAAAAAAAACAATTTTTTTTTTTAAAAAGATCCGTAGTTGATAGCCTACTACTGGGCATTCAGCCAATTTTAGACCAGCCGTCATGAGTAGGTCCGGGTCGGGACTCAGAATTTCAATTGGATTATGGGCATAGATTCTAAAACACTTATAACATGTCAACAATGTTTTTCCGCAGTGGGGGTTCTTTGAATGGTTCACTTCCTCCTGGTTACACTAGTTGATAGCGGGTGTTACGGTTACACCTAACGCTATAATGATACTATAATATATAATGTTATTTAAGACCATCAATAAAATCTTGCTATTTAGGCCTACACTGATAGCCTACACAGAGATGTACATCCACCAAACTAAAGTATTTTTTTAAAATGTAGATTTTGTTTGGAATTACTGCTTACCCGATAATATTAAATACTTTTTTTTTTTTTAAGTCATTAGTCATTTGTGTTGAACAATAATAAACCATTTCGCCTAGTGTTGTTCACTTTCACGACCAGATCTCAATATTTTGGAATAGTTCTGGCTACTTTCAATGAATTCAATTTATCTGTCGGACACAACCATGGGCGCCCGCAGAAAACTTTCTACGGGGGTGGGGGGGGGCAAAAAAATCGATTAACTTTCCAGGGGGGGGGCAAAAAAAAATTAGTAATGTTTTAATATAGTTTTAATTTACTGTAGCGTATTTGTATGGTGAACGAACGGACAGGATATCAGCTTAGTTACTTTCTCTTTATTTTCTCTTTACTTTAATACATTTTTTGTCTAATTTTTTTTTATCCAATCAAATCCATGGGGGGGGGGAGTGCCCCTACCTGCGGGCGCCCCTACCTGCGGGCGCCCCTACCTGCGGGCGCCCATGGACACAACTACTTTACTTTCCGTATTAATTTATTATATTAATTATAATGTTTTATTTTTCTCCAAAATTCGGCCACATAAATCATGATAATT